GATCGGTCTCACTATCGATCTCACTATCGATCTCAGTATCGGTCTCGCTCGATCGATCTCCCTCGATCGATCTCACAATCGATCTCACTCGATCTCACTCGATCTCATCGACACACTCGATCTCACTCGATCATCATCATCATCATCATCATCATCATCATCATCATCATCATCATCATCATCATCATCATCATCATCATCATCATCATCATCATCATCATCATCATCATCATCATCATCATCATCATCATCATCATCATCATCATCATCATCATCATCATCATCATCATCATCATCATCATCATCATCATCATCATCATCATCATCAGCATCATCATCATCATATCATCCTCATCATCATCAGCATCATTCATCATCATCATCATCATCATCAGCATCATCATCATCATCATCATCAGCATCATCATCATCATCATCATCATCATCGCGGGACACCGGGGACACGGCGGGACACCGCGGGGCACCGCGGGACACCGCGGGACACCGCGGGTCAACGGCGGGACACCGCGGGCCACCGGCCGCCCGGAAGGGAGTCATTTGGTCCGGCCGCGCCTCAGCCACAGGGGAGCGGGACACCGGCGGGACACCGCGGGCCACCGGCCGCCCGGAAGGGAGACATTTGGTCCGGCCGCGCCTCAGCCACAGGAGACTTTCTTCTCGCCCGCCCACGCAGCTTCGCCTCGCCCGCACGCACGGCACGCACGAACACGAAACCGAAATCGATTTCCCGGTAGGGGGGCTCTCCGTTCCACTTCGATCTCACCCCCTCACCTCCGACCCCAAAAATAATCAAAAAATAGTCCAAACATAGTCTGGGGACTATTTTTTTTTTTAATTTGACCCTTTTGGGGCATTTCGGGGGTATTATTTATTTTTCGTCGAAAATCCCCCTGTAGGGGGACACGCCCGACTTAAAGGTAATGGCTCGTAGCCTTTCCCACCCTGTCGAAGCGGCTCGGGTACCTGACCGTGGCCCACACAGGGCCGATCGGCGCAGCAGTGCCGCCGTCTCGGAGCTCTCGTCGAAGTCCAGCCGGTGGGATGGGCCTCGAGCCTCCCAAGGGGGCGCGGAGGAGGAAACAGCGAGGAGGTAAGGGAAGAGGTTGCTCACGGGAGATCGAGGGTGGGAGGGCCAGGAACGACCAGAGAGGAGGGATGACCGGGGAAGAGGAAGCGGAGGATTGAAGAGGACGATCGAGGATCGAAGAAGGTCACAGAACGATCGAGGCGGATCGAAGAGGAGGATCGAGGATCGAGGATCCAGCATGATCGAGGATCGAGGAGGAGGAGGAGGATAGAGGATCGAGGAGGGTCGAAGAGGAGGCGGAAAAGAGGAGGAGGAGGCGGCCAGAGGACGGAGTAGGGTCGGGGAGGAGGAGGACCTGGGAAGAGGATCGAGGATCGAGGAGGGTCGAGGAGGAGGAGGAGGAGGAGGAGGAGGAGGATGAGGAGGCCAGAGGACCGAGGAGGAAGCACAGAGCCGGAGGGGACGGCGCGCGGGCATCCGTGAAAACGTGAAACGCATCGGATGACATCCGTGAAAACGTAGGACTGTGCAGGAAGGGCGGTTCCAAGCCCTGTGAGCACAGTGGCGCCCTTGGTGGCGATTCCGCACGTTCCCGGGCGAGGCAGGCGATCGGGCCCGTCTTGACAATCAAAGGGCGAGTGTGGGGGGTTCGATGCCTTCCAACGATTCTCGTCGTCCGGCCTTCGCCTCGTAACTCGGGTCTCTGGCGGCCGCCCGGGGCGGTCCAGGCACCCCTGGGACGCCCTCGGCGAGGCGCAGCTGCTGGAGAGCACCCCGAGGCTGGAGGGACGCCGAGTACCCAACTGACTGACTGACTGACTGACTGACTGACTGACTGACTGACTGACTGACTGACTGACTGACTGACTGACTGACTGACTGACTGACTGAATGACTGACTGACTGACTGACTGACTGACTGACTGACTGACTGACTGACTGTATGACTGACTGACTGACTGACTGACTGACTGACTGACTGACTGACTGACTGACTGACTGACTGACGACTGACTGACTGACTGACTGACTGACTGACTGACTGTATGAATGACTGGCTGACTGACTGACTGACTGAAGCTTTGCGTCGAGCAGACGCGTGGGCGAGACGGCACGCTGGCAGTCCGATGCCAGAAACCAGCTAGGAAACGCAGTGGGACTGCACAGACCCGGGCAAAGTCGCACGGGGAGGAAAGGTGGCGAAGGGAGGGGAGGGGAAGGAACCCCCACCCGCCTCGGGGTGCTCTCCAGCAGCTGCGCCTCGCCGAGGGCGTTCCAGGGGTGCCTGGATCGCCCCGGGAGGGGAACCCCCGCCCGTCCGTCTTCCCAGAAGGGGGGGCCACACTGGCCAGGCGGAGGTGGGCCTCAGGCGGACAGGCGACCATTGTCGTTGATCCGTCCAGAATCCTGCGATTGCTCTTTTTCCACATCATGTGCCATGCATTCCATACTCGTCGAGAAGGGAGGGCGAGCCCCCCCCCCCCCAAAAAAATATATATATATATATATAACAATAATGATCAGTATTAGTATAACAATAATAATAAATGAATGAACAATTAAATAAATAAATAAATAAATAAATGAATAACTAAGTACATAAACAAAAATTAAATAAATACATAAATAGATAAATAAATAAATATATAGATAAATAAATAAAATGAGACTAACAATAATAATACTAATAATAATAATAATAACACGAGTAATAATACTAATAATAATAATGATAATAATAATAATACGAATAATCATAATCATAATCATAATAATAAGAATAATAACAACCACAACAATGATAATAATAAATAGTGCGAATGATAATACTGATAATAATATCAATAATAAGAATGATAATACTACGAATAATAAACAATAATAGTAGCACCAATAATGATAATAATAAATTATCCCAGTGCGACCCTACCTAGGAGTTGGAGCCTCTAGGAAAGCAACATTAGTAGGAGCGGTAAACGCCGTCCTCCTCCTTCTCCTCATCGTCGTAGTTGTAGCAGTAGCGGTAGTAGTAGTATTAGTAGTAGTAGTAGTAGTAGTAGTAGTAGTAGTAGTAGTAGTAGTAGTAGTAGTAGTAGTAGTAGTAGTAGTAGTAGTAGTAGTAGTAGTAGTAGTAGTAGTAGTAGCGCCAGAACCGCCGACGCCACGCCGTCAGTGAAGCAGCAGCAATAGTGGATGTTGTGCTGCGCTATGCTATGCTATGCTATGCTATGATTTGCTCTGCTATGCTATGCTATGCTATGCTATGCTATGCTGCGCAATGCTATGCTGGGCTAGGCTAGGCTAGGCTATGCTGTGCTATGCTATGCTGCGCTGTGTTATGCTGCGCTATGCTATGCTATGCTCTGCTTTGCTATGCTATGCTATGCTGTTGCTTTGCCTTCGTTTTTGCCTTCACTTTTGCCTTTGATTTTGCTTTTGCTTGGCACCCAGGGAGCGCAACTGGGGGAACCGCGCGTTTGCTTTTACCTTTGCTGTTGCTTTTGCTTGGCCCCCAGGGAACCAGGGGAACCGCCCGGGGCGCTTTCCACTGCCCGGCCCCTTTAAGCAAACCGAGTAAGAACCCTTCTAGGCAGAGCCTAGGTAGGGATGATATAAAAAACAAACAAAAAAACTCGAACCTCCCACCCGAAAACCTCGCAGCCCCCCCAGCCGATCTCTTCCGATCGTCGCCCCGGAGTCTGGGCGCGGCGAGAGGCGCCCTCTTCTGGCGGCCCTCCGGGGCGACGCGGGCACCCCCAGAGCGCTCTCGGCGAGGCGCAGCCGCCAGAAGGCACCCAGAGGCTGGAGAGCCGCCGAGTACCCACGAAGATGCCCGAGAACCTCGAACCCCGAACCCGAGAACCTGGGATCCGAAAATCTCCGACCTCGAACCCGAGCACCTCGAACCCGAAGACCTCGAACCCCCCAGGAACCGACGCAAGCGTCCGCGAAAACAACTCCCGCCGTGACTGTTTCACAAGAGCTCACAAACAAATATCCGGGCGATGGCCACCCAACCATATGCAGTTGTGAGTGCCGCGTTGTGGGTACCACTTTCGGTGGAGCTGCCGCTGGGGCCACGAAGCGTGTGAGCGGTATGCCGAAACGAACGCGGCGGTGCCATGCCAACGCAGTCGCTGGGGCCCTCGGTGGAGCTCCCGCTGGGGCCACGAAACGTGTGAGGAGTGTGCCGACATGGGTGCGGCGGTGCCATGCGAACGCAACTGAAAACGCAAGTTGTCGTGAGTTATGAACCGAGCGCGTCTGGAGAGGGTTGGGGGGAGTGAGAAGGAGCAGGCCTTCTCAGAAGGCGGCGAGGTTTCTCAGAGGCACCCCGGCCTTGTGAGGGGAAGGCCTGGAAAACTTCATAGAAGGCCAGAGGCCTTCCGAGCCTTCTAAGAAGGCCAGCCCCGTCTCACCATTAGTTGTGTTTTCCCCCGGCCGAGCAGAACTTCCCTACCACACTTCTGATTGTCCGCGGGCGCGACCATTGGCGCTTCCCTGGCGTTGCGCCCTTGCGCGCGCCATGCAACGGTCACGATGTGCACACTGGGCTGCATGCGCGCGCATGCACAGAGGCCCGCCCGGATCGCCGCCGCCCGCAGCTCGGGCTGCAGCTCGGGCTGCAGAGGGGGGCAAGAGGGGGGAGGATGCATGCTCCCTCTCGCCGCGGGCGAGGAGAGCGAGGAGGAGGGCGAGGAGGGCGAGGAGGAGGAGGAGGAGGACTGGAGGATTCGGGAGGGGGCGAGGAGGGGGAGGAGGGCGAGGAGGAGGAGGAGGAGGAGGAGGAGGAGGGCGAGGAGGACTGGAGGATTCGGGAGGGGGCGAGGGCGAGGAGGGCGAGGAGGAGGAGGAGGAGGGCGAGGAGGACTGGAGGATTCGGGGAGGGGGCGAGGGCGAGGAGGAGGAGGAGGAGGAGGAGGAGGGAGGCGCGAGGCGCGAGGCGCGCCGCCTGCAGCTCGGGCTGCAGCTCGAAGCGCCCCGAGGCGGCCTGCCGCGGCTTCCACCTGCCGAGGGGGCGAGGCGCGGGGGGGGGGCGGGCGGGCGGGCAGGGGCCGCCTGGGCCGGGGGCCCCCACGTGGGTCGGAGGTCCGGAGGGCCGGAGGGCCAGAGGGTCGAGGGTCAAAGGTCGAGGGTCGAGGAATGAGGGGTCGAGGCTCGAGGGTCGAGGGTCAGGGATCAGAGGTCGAGGGTCGAGGAGTGAGGGGTCGAGGCTCGAGGGTCGAGGGTCGGGGATGGAGGGTCCAAGGCCGAGGGTCGAGGATCAGAGGTCGAGGGTCAAGGGCCGAGGATCAGAAGGAGATCTGCACAGCTGGAGCGCGTTTTCATGGAGCACCACCCCCCCTCCCCCCCCCAAAAAAAAACCCTCTGCCGCCTCATGAGAACACGCTGGGCTGCAGCGGCGTGCAAGGGAGTCTCGACTTGCCTGAAGTCCAAAGCTCCTTTGGGGCCTCGCCGCCAGGCTCCTCCCCCTCCCGCAACTACGCAACTTGCCAGAACCTAGTGAAAAAAACGGCTTCCAGGATCGAGGACCGAGGATCGAGGAACGAGAATCGAGGGTCGGGGGTCGAGGGTCGAGGGCTGAGGATCGAGGAGGAGGCAGAGGAGGAGGAGGAGGAGGAGGAAAAGGAGGAGGGGGACAAGGAGGACAAGGAGGATCGATGATCGAGGATCGAGGAGGAGCACGAGGAGGATCGAGAATCGGGGATCGAAGACGTGGATGGAGGAGGCGGATCGAGGAGGAGAAGGAGGACCGAGGATCGGGATACTTCAAACGTCTTTGACCTTTCTTGGGGGGGGGCTCTGGAGATCTCCAAGATGCCTGCCAAAAGGAGACATAATGGATGGGATCAGCGGATCGCGTCGCATCGCTAGCGCATCGGCGACATATCGGTGACGTCGGGGTGGAAAAAAATCGCGGGACGGCAATTGCCCACCTCACCGACCTGGCCGAGGCGAGGCTCCAAGGGCCTCAAGAGGCCTACTCGTCTTCCTCCCCCTCCTCCTCCTCCTCCTCCTCCTCCTCCTCCTCCTCCTCCTCCTCCTCTCCTCCTCGCCCCCTCCTCCTCCTCCTCCCTCCTCCTCCTCCTCCTCCTCCTCTCCTCCTCCTCCTTCCCTCCTCCTCCTCCTCCTCCTCCTCCTCGCCCTCCTCCTCCTCCTCCTCCTCCTCCTCCTCCTCCTCCTCCTCCTCCTCCTCCTTTTTGACGTTGCTCAGACGTGAAGCGGAAGCTTGGCGCGTTCTGGTGCGGCAAAAACCGCCGACGTGGCGGAGCGAAGCGTAGATTGGCGCAATGCCCGCCGGGGCGGCAGAGGCCGCAGTGCCGGGTGTTACCTCGGTATCCCATCCACCTCCCCCGCACCTCGAATACCCACTTGGTGTATTACCGATCTCAACCACTTCTAGCTGGCGACGCGTTTCGGACTCTAGGTCCTCTTCTGGGCCAAAAGGCTGCGGTGTCCCACGCGCGTGCCGTGCAGCGCGCGAGCAAGGCAGCAAGAGGTCAAGAGTGCGGGGGTGAAAAAAAACGGCTGCCCTACCCACCCGCCAGCTCCCAAAGTTGCAGGTCCAGGCGTGCAGCACTTGAGATCGAAACATGCAACACGGGCGACGTGAGAGCAAGAGAGGGTGAAGCAAATCGAACTCGCGGCAACGTATGGCATGGAAGCGAACGAGTAGCGTTCACGGTAAGTCGAGTGGGGCAATACTGGCAGGGACTGCGTGCAGAAGGCTGGCACTGTGAGAGGCTGGCCTGTGTCCTCCTCCTCCTCCTCCTCCTCCTCCTCCTCCTCCTCCTCCTCCTCATCATCATATCATCATCATCATCATCATCATCATCATCATCATCATCATCATCATCACCACCACCACCACCACCACCACCACCACCATCATCATCATCATCATCATCATCATCATCATCATCATCATCATCATCATCATCATCATCATCATCATCATCATCATCATCATCATCATCATCATCATCATCATCATCATCATCATCATCATCATCATCATCATCATCATCATCATCATCATCATCATCATCATCATCATCATCATCATCATCATCATCATCATCATCATCATCATCATCATCATCATCATCATCATCATCATCATCATCATCATCATCATCATCATCATCATCATCATCATCATCATCATCATCATCATCATCATCATCATCATCATTATCATAATCAGCATCATCAAATCATCATCCTCATCATCATAATCATCATCATCATCATCATCATCATCAGCAGCAGCATCATCAGCATCATCACCAGCATCATCATTATCCTTATACTTCTGCTTCTCCTTCCTCTCCCCCTCCTCCTCCTCTCCCACGTGTTCCGCCAAGGGGTAACGGTCGGGGGAACACACAGTCCAATAGCTGGGCAAGACTCCGACCCAACGTTTGGCCGTATGGGCGCTTCCGAAAGGCAAGGCAGGGCGGTGGTTCGCCGTAGGCGTCTTCGACGCCGATACCGATACGGTTCCTTAATCTTTCTCTTTGAGGGCATCCTGCGGGGCCCTCGTCGCTAACCACGGCTGCATTCGCTTCAAAATCCTCGTCAAAACGCAACCTGGAACAGGCACGGGAAAATAGCGCAAAGGTATCGGTACAGTTCTCTGTCCCCGTGGTAGAGGCGGCCCGGATTAGTAGGTCGACCCTACCAGATCAGGGGTACCCTCGTGTCCTGTCTTGCGACCCATGCCTCCTGCATTTCTGTGGCAGCGTGGCCCTCGGAGGGGTCATGTGTCCTCTCGCGTGTCCTCTCCAATCAAGTCCGACCGCAGTGGAGGCACGAGCTCGGAAGGACGCAGCAGGTGGGAGCGACCTGCCCAACTCGGGGCGTGCCACCGACCAGGGGACGGGCCGCACGGGACCTGCACTCTGGCCCCAAGTCGGGCCTGTCCCCCTACAGGGGGATTTTCGACGAACAATAAAAAATACCCCTAAAATAATCAGAAAATCCAAAAATAGTCTGGTGACTATTTTTTGGTATTTTTGTTACCTTTTTGGGGTATTTTGGGGGTACTCTTCATTTTTCGTCGAAAATCCTTCTGCAGGGGGACCATTTTTGGGGGACATTCTCGAAAATCAACAAGTAGTCCAAAAATAGTCTGGGGACTATTTTCAATTATTATTTTTTTTTACCTTTTTGGGGTTTTTTGCTGAGTATTTCTTGTTTTTCGTCGAAAATCCCCCTGTAGGGGTACAGGCCCGACTTCACCCGATGCTCTGTGGCCCTGGGGAGCCCGGGCGCAGCCCCGGGCAGGAGGCGGCGCCCGCGGAGACCCCCAGGACGCCCTCATGGCCCGGCCCTTCCGCCCGCCCGCGCGGCCCCGGGGCCCCCCGGGGCCCTCGGAGCGGCCCCCGGGAGCTGGCAGATTCTGCCCTCGGAGCGGCCGCCCCCCTTCTCCCTATCCACTTCCCCCTCCTGCTTCCCTCCCCCCCTTCGCCTCCTCCTCCCCTCCTCCTCCTCCTCCTCCTCCTCCTCCTCCTCCTCCTCCTCATCCTCCTCCTCCTCCTCCTCCTCCTCCTCCTCCTCCTCCCCCCCCGGGAGCTGGCAGGGAGTGGCAGGAGCTGGCAGAATCGAATCGATAAGTCGAATCGGCGATCGAAATCAGTCGGATCGGCGGAGATCGGCAGCCAAGTCGGGAGGAATCGAGTCGGCTGACATCGGCAGGCTTGTACGCATCCAGTGAAGAATCGGAACCCAAATCGGAATCCCAAGTCGAATCGAACCGGAATCGGAATCCATCGAAATCTAATCGAATCGAATCGAATCGGGGCAATCGAAATGAGCCCTGCAGGGCAGGTTTTAATACATAGGATTTTTAACACATCGGATTTTTTATACATGATCAATTTGCGAATTAATCAACGCATAAATTCATCCTTGTTTTTAATACTGAGTCCCTCTATTTTGAATAGATGATCCGCACGCGGAGCATGTATGAAATCCGGCGCTGTCAAGGAGCAGGAGGCGTAAAAACGCAGGTTCTCGGAGGTTCGCGCGGAGCTCCTAGAGGTTATGTGCGTGTGCCGCCCGTGTCTTCCGAGGAACGAGGAGGCGAAAAAAACGCGGAGGCGAAAAAAACGCGGTGGAACAGGCGTGCCGCCAGAGGCGTGGGGAGGCGGTCCCAGGGGAGCCCGCTCCCGCGGCGCGGCGACCGCGCGCGCGGGGCCTCTTGAGGCCGCCGGGCCCGTCTTCTAGGGCCCCAGCCTCCTCCCCCCCGCCCCACACACACACACAAACACACACGCACACACACACGCACACACACGCACGCACGCACGCACGCACGCACGCACGCACGCACACAAACTTACAAACACACACACACACACACACAAACTTACACACGCACACGCACATACACACACGCACACACACACACACGCACACACACACACGCACATACATACATACATACATACATACATACATACATACATACATACATACATACATACATACATACATACATACTTACATACATACATACATACATACATACATACATACATACATACATACATACATACATACATACACACATACACACACATACATACATACATACATACATACATACATACATACATACATACATACATGCATACATACATACACACACATACATACCTACCTACCTACCTACATACATACATACATACATACATACATACATACATACGTACGTACGTACAGACAGACAGACAGACAGACAGACAGACAGACAGACAGACAGACAGACAGACATACATACATACATACATACATACACACACACACACTTTTTACGTCGGCGGCTAGGCAGAGTGACTGCGCGGGTGGAAAGGCATTGGAATCACACACGCACACAGACGCACACGCAGCAGCAACAACAACAAAATTATCCTGGCGAAGGACCCAACCATATGCAAACGTGAATACCGCAGGGCAGGTGGGACGAAGCAAAAAGAATTCCCAATGTGGCCACGAACCGTGTGAGGGGTGCGCCACACTGGGGCGGGGCCGCCATGCGAACCCTGCCACTGAGGCCTTCGGTGGAGCTCTCTATGTCCCTGCGGGGCCACGAACCGTGTGAGGGGTGCGCCAATATGGGGCGGGGCCGCCATGCGAACCCTGCCACTGGGGCCTTCGGTGGAGCTCCCTATGGGGCCACGAACCGTGTGAGGGGTGCGCCAAAATGAGGCGGGGCCGCCATGCGAACCCTGCCACTGGGGCCTTCGGTGGAGCTCCCTATGGGGCGAACCGTGTGAGGGGTGTGCCAAAATGAGGCGGGGCCGCCATGCGAACCCTGCCACTGGGCCTTCGTGGAACTCCCTATGGGGCCACGAACCGTGTGAGGGGTGCGCCAAAATGAGGCGGGGCCGCCATGCGAACCCTGCCACTGGGGCCTTCGGTGGAGCTCCCTATGGGGCCACGAACCGTGTGAGGGGTGCGCCAAAATGGGGCGGGGCCGCCATGCGAACCCTGCCACTGGGGCCTTCGGTGGAGCTCCCTATGGGGCCACGAACCGTGTGAGGGGTGCGCCAAATGGGGCGGGGCCGCCATGCGAACCCTGCCACTGGGGCCTTCGGTGGAGCTCCCTATGGGGCCACGAACCGTGTGAGGGGTGCGCCAAAATGGGGCGGGGCCGCCATGCGAACCCTGCCACTGAAGCCTTTAGTGGAGCTCCCTATGGGGCCACGAACCGTGTGAGGGGTGCGCCAAAATGGGGCGGGGCCGCCATGCGAACCCTGCCACTGGGGCCTTCGGTGGAGCTCCCTATGGGGCCACGAACCGTGTGAGGGGTGCGCCAAAATGGGGCGGGGCCGCCATGCGAACCCTGCCACTGGGGCCTTCGGTGGAGCTCCCTATGGGGCCACGAACCGTGTGAGGGGTGCGCCAAAATGAGGCGGGGCCGCCATGCGAACCCTGCCACTGAGGCCTTCGGTGGAGCTCCCTATGGGGCCACGATCCTCGTGAGGGGTGCGCCAAAATGGGCGGGGCCGCCATGCGAACCCTGCCACTGGGGCCTTCGGTGGAGCTCCCTATGGGGCCACGAACCGTGTGAGGGGTGCGCCAAAATGGGGCGGGGCCGCCATGCGAACCCTGCCACTGGGGGCTTCGGTGGAGCTCCCTATGGGGCCACGAACCGTGTGATTGGTGTGCCGAAATAGAGACATGCGGAGGGTGATGCTGATGATGACGCCGAATATCATGGTGATGTTGATGATGACGATGATGATGATGACGATGATGATGATGATGGCAGGAGGGAGGGGGCAGCGGGAGGAGGAGAAGGAGGGAACGCGGGGCACCGTCTCTTCAAAACGAGGACCCAACACCACAGGATGGTTGGGAAAAACACTGCATTGCGAACAAGCAACGAAAAGGTGTTGGGGGTATGGTACTTAGCTGATGTTGCAAACGCTGGGATTTGTTTTTGTTCGTTCTGATTTTCTTGTTTTCGACCACGCCAAACAGCGGGGGAAACAGCACACGAAAACCTGCGGCCCAAGACATACAAAAACGGGCATACCAAATGGAACCGAACCGAAAACGGCACGAACTATAATTAATCCTATGTCTTTTCTTTCCGCACTTCTATTGAAGTACCAAAAACTACCTGGGGCAGAACAGAAAAAAATGCGCACGAACAAAACGCCGTCGGAGGTCTCAGGGGGGCAGCCCTCGAGGAGGAGGTGAGGAGGAGGGAGGAGGAGGAGGAGGAGGAGGAGGCGAGGGAGGAGGAGGAGGAGGAGGAAGAGGACGACGACGACGACGACGAGGGGGAGGAGGAGGACGAGAAGGAGGAGGAGAGGAGGAGGACGACGACGAGGAGGAGGAGGACGGGGCGGCCCTCAAGGGGCCCGCCCCCCCCATGGGCGGCGCGCGCGCGCCGCCTCTTGAGGCCGCCGTCCTGCGACGCGGTGTACACCCCGTCCTGGGAGGCGCGGCCCGGTTCCCGCGGCCCCCCCCCCCCGGCGGGGGCGGGCGCCGCACGCGCGCAGGGCACGGCAACGCACCGGAGCTATGTCGGGCGCGTCCCCCAACAGAGGGATTTTCGACGAAAAACGAAGAGTACCCAAACATACCCCAAAAAGGTAAGAAAATACGAAAAAAATAGTCCCCAGACTATTTTTGGACTATTTTTGGACTATTTTTGGAGTGTTTTTTATTTCTCGTCGAAAATCCCCCTGCAGGGGGACAGGCCCGACTTAACACAAGAACCGTCGGTGGCAACTCACGGGAGCCTCCCATACCCTCCTGTCGGCTCCTGCGAATCTACGCTAGTCGACGCCAAGTCGACGCTGATCGACGATGAATCGACGCTACGTGATCGACGCTAGCCGACGCCAAGAGGGCGCCATCGCGTCCACTCCCGGACGCTAATCGGTGCGAGTCGACGCTAAAGACAGGACTGAGAGGGTATACCAGGCTCCCATGATCCTTTTTTTTCCGTTGCCCTTGAATGCGAGCCGGCAATGTGTGTGTGGTTCCAACACGGCGTGGCCTAATTGAAACCAGGCTCCCATGATCTGCCACGGAGGGAACCCCAGCCCGAAGGCCAAGATTTCCGACGGCACGTTCTGCTCAATCCAGGCACACTCTTTCCACTCTGGGGCCCGCCATCGGGCCCCGGGGCCACCAAAAACGGATCCGGGGCGAGAAGCCACCCCCGGGGGAGGGGAGATGTCAGGGAACGCGCTTCACGGCAGAGTGGCGCTCTGGCCGCACGCGCGCGGGGCACGGCAGCACGTTTGCAGCCGGGGGTTTTCTCGCTCCGCACGTGGCGGCGGCGGCCCTCGGCGGCACGGTGTGCCGTGCGAGTGGATGGCGCACCACTGTTTTCCGCAGGGCGGGAAGCTGGGAACAACGCGGGCCATGGAATCCCGGGGGCCGGGGCGGGGTCACCGCATCGCGCCCCAGCGTGGTGGGCCAGGACGGGCAGCGCGACACGCTGAGCCAAAATTCCCGACCGCGAACCCAAGCCCGAGGACGCCCTCGGCGGCAGAAGCGCCGGCTGGGCACCTGTGCCTCTTACTCGATGAAAGAATCGTGCCCCTGATGGGCGAGAAAGGGAGAACAGAAAGCGTTCGTCACTGCCTTGCTTTGGATTTGGATTGGCGTCGTATTCCAAAACATCAAGCAACGCGGGCCCCCGACCTCTCGACCACATCCCTGGGGCTGGCTTTTGTATGTGTATATATATATATATATATGTGTGTGTGTGTTGTTTGACGGCCCTGGGGCCAGGCCAGGGCCCCGATAAGCCGAAAACTACATCTGTTTCATTTAAAGCAGAAGAAGAAGAACTCTGTCTCGATTATGCGGAGAATGGCCAGCAGAGGCGAACAGCACCTAACCTTACTGACACCAGTCACCGCGAGAAAATGGACCGCCATCGACCGGCCAAAAAAATCATATATAGAGAAGGGAAAGAAGTAATAGGACAGAGGGAAGGAAAAGGAGTAGGGAAGAGCGGACAAGGAAAGCAGAAACAGAGACAAGGATAAGACGGGGCGGAAATAGGTAGGAAAAGAGGCCACTGGAAGAGAGAAAAAATTAGAGAAAAAAAGATAGCAGGGAGAAGAAGAGAGACGAACACAGAAAAGCAGAGAACGATGGGGCGGTAGGCGGACAGGGAATAAATAAAATCACGCCTAGAGTAACGAAAGGAGAAGGGGAGTTAGGGAGGAACAAGGAGTCAGGAAGGGAAGAAGAGAATCAGGAAGGAGAGAGAGGGGGGAAAAGGAGACCGAAAAAAAGGAAGGAGAGAAGTGAAGAACGAAAAAAAAGGGGGGAGGAGGGGGGGGGGGGGCGAAACGGGCCCGCCCGCCCTTCTCGCGCCCCGCCTTGGGAGCTGAAGCCCGCGCCGAAGAGCAATCGCACAAGAGGCTATCCCACAAGATAATCAAACGTCGCTCTGGAGGCCGCCGTCGCGGATGCGAGCAAACAACTCCGCCGCGGTAACGCGCGGGAACGCAGCCCACAAAATCATATCCAAAATACCGCGCTGGCGCGTGCTGCCCCTCGCCCACGGTCGGCCCTGCCCCCCGCGCACACAACATTCCCAGAGAGTGACCGCCCTGCTTTGACGAGCGGCAGAAGCCCGCGTCGGGAGCACTAGAAAATAATACCACCGCGGCAAACACCCGCGAAGCCGCGGACGCAAACCTGAAAAGGAGATTGTATCGCAGCGCCGCGCGAGGACGCAGCGCGTAAAATCATCTCCCGAAACCGCGCCAGCACGTTAAGTTCCTCCCCCCCCCTCATCCTTACTTCCTATTATTAAACACCCCCCACATCCCCACCTAGCCGGCCAATGGCAACCCCGCCGTCCGAAATGCCAAAAAACAGCACGACCTCAACTTTTTTCTCGCCAACATGTCGTCGAACTGCGAAAAGTGAAGCAGGAATTAAACTGAATGCACATCGCCTAGGTAACCCTAAGCGGGTGGTCGCGTCCTACCCATCAAAAAACAATACACAGTCAACGTTTTTCTGGTCAGCATGGACTTTCTTATCGTCGACGCTGCGAAAAAAATGTAGCAGGAATGGGACGCGGCGCACATCGCGCGCGGACGCGTGGCCAACCCTACGCGGGACCCCCCCGTCCTATCTGTCAAAAAAACACAACAGCGTCGACGTTTTCCTTGCCAACATGCACTTTCTCCTTTTCTCGGCGCTGCGAATCGCGTAGCGGGAATGGGGCGCGGCGCACATCGCGCGTGGACGCCTGCTCGTCAACATGGACTTTCTTGTCGTCGACGCTGCGGCCCGTCGGGTTGAGGAGCTGGACGGGCGGCAAATCATAATGCCTCAAGCAAGTGCGACTCCCAAGAGGCATTCTCCTCTTCCTCCGCAGTTCCTCTCTCCCTCCTTCTCTCCTCCCCTCCTCCTCCTCCTCCTCCTCCTCCTCCTCCTCCTCCTCCTCCTCCTCCTCCTCCTCCTCCTCCTCCCCTCCGCCATGCGCGGCAGGGGCGAAACGATTGGCGGTACAACACGCGTGGCTGGAATGTGACGCGGCGCACTTCGCGCGCTGGACATGTTGTCGCCGACGATGCAACATGAGAGGCTGGAGCGGGGCGCAGCGTACATCGCGCGCGGTCTTGTTTCTCATCGACGCTGCTCACGACGCGGCAGGAATAGGACGCAGCTCATGTCGCGCGCTGAACGCCTAGCCGCCCACGATATAAGATGAGCGACAGGCGTCGGACGCGACGCACTTGCTTCTTATGTTGTGGGAGGGCGGGTGGGAGTGGACGGAGCCCTCTGGCTCGTTAGAGCTGGCTACCTTGACCCTACCCCCCACACCCCACCCACCCGCCCACCCACCCGCCCACCCACCCACCCCCACCACCCCCACCCCACTCCCCAAACCACCCCACCAACCACCCACCCACCCACCCACCCACCCACCCACCCACTAACAGCACCGCCCCACCCCCCGCCCAGCCACAGACTCCCAGAGAGCAGTCGCTTGACCTCTACCAGCGGAAGATGCACGTCTGGACCGCATTGCAGCTGTTCCGAGGACCGCTGACGCACACGTTACGAGGCGTCTGCAACGCAGCGACGAGCGGACCACCTCCCACGGACCACATTGAAAACGAACCCACGCAGCCCGCCCACGTTCAATTCCACGCCCGCGACAAGGCCCGTCGCCCTTCGGGGCCCGCGGGCGCGCGCCCGCGCAACACTGCGCGCCAGACCCCCTACCCCGTCGCGGATCTCTCAGGAGTGGCGCAGCCGCTGGCAGGCGGCGGCCTGGCCCGCGTTGAACTCCGCAGCGCGATTGGACAATTCCTTCGATAAGCCGCGGACCGCTCGCCCACCCCCCCCAAAGAAGAAAAACGCCTCCGAAATGGGGAAGTAGAGCGTCGAGGACTTCGCGGCTGAAGGCGCCCTCGCGCCAGCAGTCTGGAAACGACGTTTTGCGCGCGGAGGAACCTCGAAATAATACTGCATCACAGCAGCGCGCGCGCACTGGCACAGGAACGGACCTGGACTGGAAATCGGCATCTGCCCACAACGATCCCCGTCTCGTCCGGGGCGATGCTCCGAAGCCAGGTTCGCGGGCGCTCGCGCACCATCGGTTGCAGCTCAAACTCCCGACCTCGGCCGGCTTCCTCCTTTGCAGACGTCTTGCCGCACCGAGCACGCCACGGCGCTGCCCAGGGGCGGGGCGGCGCCGCTGGAGGTAGCCTCCACGCGTCTTCCAAACCCGAACGCAAAAGGTCTTGCCCGCGCTCCCCCTGCCCCCCCCCCAGCCCCCAATGGCGGCGCACTGGCCCCACTTGGCACTGTGCGATTACGCAGAGACCACGACCGCGACGCTCCCGCCGAGCTCCTTCGAGCGCGAGTAGAACCTCCTGGAGCCAACACGTATCCCGCTGAGAACTTATGGACTTGGGCCCCGTTGGTCGAGGACCCCCCCTTGAAATTTCCTCGCGCGCGCCAACGCCCCCGCCCATGACCAGCTCGCGCAGGTCCAGGGGCCGCTCCGCGGTCCGCGACAACAAGCATCCTGCTGGAAGTCGTTGCTTAGCCACGGTCAGGGTCAGCTTCGCCCCGCTGGTTTTGCCCCGGTATTTCTCGGGCCACGCCCCCCCCCACTTCCGCAGGGTGCAACATGACCGCCGGGTTGCATTCGTGAGTCTGCACTATGGTTTCGCGCAGGGCGACGCTAGCCACGATGGAGTCGAGGGAGGCCTCCCGCTCGCGGGCCCACTGGCCAACCTCTGCGCGGGCGTCACCTGGCAGCAAGAAATCCCCCTGGTGCTGGGGAGTCGCGAGCTGCTGTCGCCGCCCGCAGGGAATCTCGCTTTCACTCCTTCTGGCTCGGGAGGGCAAGCACATGGAGCAGGCCGCCATGAACCGACCACCTCCCAAACAGAATAATGGAGGTGAGTTCCCTTATCCTGGCACGCCGTTGTCCCT